GACGACAGGATTGTGCTGCCTGTGCTCCTTCAAAGCTTATTAGACCTACGATTTTCAGATTTTAATCATGGAGATAGGATAAATGCTCCTGCTATCATGGAGATCGGATAATTTTGTCTCAGGATTTGTTGATTAAGATGATTTGAATATAGAATTGCTAGCATAATGGGTATGAAAAATGGAAAAGACTTAGATAAAGTTTTTTAAGTGAAATTTGAGAAATTATTTATAAAAAATAAATAAATTAAAATTAATAAATTAAAAAGTTTTATTATATAAATTAAATATATAAAATTTAATAAATTTTTAATAAATTTTGATATATAAATTTTTTTATAGATATTTTTAATAAAAATATTAGTAAAATTTTTACTATTGAATAAATATTTATCAAATTTAAATTATAAATAATATTATAAATAATTTTTTATATATTATTAATATTCACTTTAAATTTTATCGATTTATCCATTTAAAATTTTTATGAAATCATTTTTTAAAAAAAATTTCACAATCTTCGTATAACAAACTAGTTTTACCCATGAAAAATTGTCTTAAGTATCTGAGTTGACAAGGACAAAGGCTCTTTTTTTTTTAATCCTTTATTGCTTGCATAACGTTACAGTATCCCCTTCTTGGGGCTTCTTTTTTGTTCCAAATTCCAATGCATGAAGGCTTATTTTCGCTATATGCTTACTAACATTAAGAAACAATACTATGGTTGATTTTACGAAAACTCGACGATTGGTGGATCATTTTCTCTCATTAAAAAGCATGATCTTTTCTTTGGATCATTTATTAATTAATATATGTATTTTACGGCAACGCAATTGGCATATTATTGGTCAAATTTACGAGTTTTCAATGAGCAAGACGCATTGTATGACTTTAATCTTTCAAATTCAAGTCAATAAAACTTTTCTAATTACATTAGGAACGTACACGTTTTAGTCAACTGAAATAAATGAACCAGAAACATCGGCCTTCTGCAGGAGAAATTGAGGAAAATAGTTCCCTTCTGAATGCTTGGATCTCCAAGATAAGTACTGATCCTGTGTCTCCAATTTGACCCTGATTACTTTGGAAATTAGCACGGAATCCCACAATCACTGTCAACACTTTGGTTTTCCTTCTCTCTCAAATGGTCTCAGCCATGGCTCTTACCGCTGCCCAAACCTGCTATGAAACAGGGAACTTCACAACTAATAGTACGTACGGTAGAAATCGAGACCTCATCCTCGCTTCTCTCTCAGCTAATGTCTTAGGAAATGGAGGTTTCTTTAGTGGCAGCGTTGGCCAAGACCCCGATAAATTTTATGCTCTTGGGCTTTGCAGAGGTGACGCTTCTCCAGATGTTTGTTCTGACCGTATCGGTTCCGCAACTCAAGATATCTTAGCCAAGTGTCGCAACCAAAAAGAAGCCATTTCATGGGGGCCTGGGAATCCACCATGTATAGTACGCTATACAAATCGCTCTCTTTTCGGAATCCTGGAACTAGATCCAACCAACACAGGCTGTAATGCGAATGACATAGACTCAAATTTAACACAGTTTAACCAGGTTTGGGAGAATTAACTGATAGTTTAGTGAGAAAAGCATCCATGGGCTCTTCTAGGCTAAAGTTTGCAACTGAGGAAACAGTTTTAACCAGCCGTGAGAGGATATATTCACTCATGCAGTGCACTCCAGATCTATCTCAGAGTGACTGCGCCAACTGCCTAAGAGTGTCTGTGGATGACTATCGAAGACGTTGCCAAGGGAGGCACGGAGGTTATGTTCATAACCTAACTGTTTCTTCCGATGGGATTTGTATCCCTTTTATGATTCTTCAGCTGACAGCCCGTCCCTATCTCCTCTACCTCCAATTCCACCTAATATTCCTCCTCCACATTCTACTGATTCAATAACCAAGAAAGGTACGGGATCTCGCCCATTGGAGAAATTCAGATTATTTGGGACTAAAAAAAAGAATATATAGAACAATCCTCTTTAATAGACATGAATTATTTTGAAATACTTGAAAAAGAAAAGTACCCAATTTTGACCCGGCCTGCGACCTCTTATTTCATTTTTTATAAATGGTGAATTCAATTTGTCAAGTATGTTGCTGGCATTTGCAAATAAAGGAAGCTCCAAATCTCGAACTGCTATATTCGTCGTTGTTCCAATTGTTACTTTAATGGCAATTTTGGCTCTTACTTGCACCGTACTACAAAGGATGACGAAGAAGATCAAATGGGAGAAGAAAAGTAACTGATCATTTTATTTTGTTTGGTTCTATAAGTTATAACTTAGTTGACGATGACTACATATCTTCGTTACAATAGCTTCAAGCACTTGGAATTTCAGAGAAATCATAGAAAATTAATTTTATTGCTTAATACTTTGAAACTGCATGTCTAGTAGTTGCGTTTAAGAAAATCAGTCAGTCTGCAATAAAGATCATAAGATCAAACCATGCAGGTGTTTTCCATTTTTCCATTTGCATATGTTCACCAATTCAATCCGTGAATCTGCAGATGAAAATGTTAGCACCAGATTGCCATTTGACCTCAGTAGGCAGTCATTGCAACTAGATTTTAGCACTATCAAAGAAGCAACAATTAACTTCTCCGACGACAACAAGCTTGGACAGGGTGGTGTTGGCACTGTCTACAAGGTAATTAGAGACCGTAGTAGACGAATGAGTCAATTTTGAATTTTCCATTAGGACTAGGATTCATATTTTTTCCGTTTTGTTGCTCCAAGGCACGCTTCCTGATGGACAAGAAGTAGCTGTGAAGAGGCTGTCTAGGAACTCTGAACAAGGAGAAGTGGAATTTAAGAATGAAGTCCTGTTAATGGCAAGGCTTCAACACAGAAATTTAGTTAGGCTTATAGGTTTTTGCTTGGAGGAAGAGGAAAGGCTTCTCATCTATGAGTTTGTGCCTAAATCAAGCCTCGACAAGTTTATATTTCGTATGATTGCACTTTTCTTCCTGATGCATTTTTTGGTAGATATTATATTAACACATCTCACTGAAGGCAAGAGCTTATAGATGAAGAGAGAGAGAGTGTGTGTGTAATAAAATTCATATTTATACATCTATTTTTGTTATTAGCATTGTTTTGCCATGAGTTAAGTAACTTGATTTTGTAAGTTTGTAGATCCAACCAAGTGCGTGCTATTGAATTGGGAACATAAATACGGAATTATAGTGGGAATTGCTTGAGGGATTCCTTATCTTCACGAAGATTCTTGACTACGAATTATTCACCGAGATCTAAAAGCAGATAATATTCTTTTAGACGAAGAGATGAATCCTAAAATTTCAGATTTTGAAATGGCCAAGTTGTTCAAATATGATCAAACTCATACTGATACAACTGGAGCTGTGGGAACATTGTAAGTATAACTCTCCTCTCAAATGTCGTAGTCAAAATTTCCCTCCCATTTGGGACTAAAGCACAAAGTTGGCAAATATTAATCAAAATTACTTCTCACTGTTGATAGTGGATATATGGCTCCAGAGTACGTAAAACATGGACATTTCTCAGTCAAGTCAGATGTTTATAGCTTTGGTGTGTTAGTTTTGGAAATCATCAGTGGTAAAAAAATCAGTCATTTCTTCGACGAGGAGGCAGGGAGTCTTCCAACTTATGTAAGACATAGTCAAGAATTTAAGCACCATTGGAAAAAAGGAAAAAGTGATATTTTCCCTATGATCTGGGAATTTGACTAGTAGTGCTAATTTACAATCTCCAATTTCTATATTTTTTCAGGTATGGAAAAATTGGAAGAAAGGAACAGGCTTGAATGTAATAGATCCTATTCTGATGGGTGGTTCCACAAGTGAAATGAAGAAATGAAGAAATGTATCCACCTAGGGTTGCTATGTGTTCAAGAAGATGTTGCTAATAGGCCAACTATGGCTTCAGTTCTTCCTACTCTCAGTAGATGCACCTACTCTCTTCCAGAGCCCTCAAAACCTGGATTCTGCCAAACTGTTTTCCGGAATTGGGGGAATCCTCGTTTCAAAATGGCAATGCAAATTTTGTGGCATCAGATGATTCCAAAACCAAAACCACTCTATTTACCCAAAATGAGGTTTCAATTTCTGATATAATTCCTCGATAACGTTTGAAGATTTAAGCTGTATTTTTAAACTTGCTTTCTGGAATTGATTATTATTACTTATTTACTTTTTTGTAGTAAATGTTGATTAGCTGTTTGTACTACTTATTTACCATGGTCTAAATAATTTTTTTATGTTTTAAATTGTCAGAATTTGAATTTTAATTATTAAAAGTAACAAATTAAACTTTTATCATTAGATCATGCGATAATATTTCGATCTTAATTTTAATAAAATTAGAAATTTTGTATGCTATTGTAAAACGAAAAGATATTTTTTTACAAAATTTTTCTTTTTCGGATAAATAATTTTTATTCATTATCCAAAAAACAGTAGAATTGTTACCAAACAATAAATACATATTGTTCAACTTCTACACCACAAAAGAATTCTTACTCAACTCTCATCTCTTACATAGTCTTTGATTAACATGATCATAAGTTATAATTTTTGGATCAATCAATAGAATCTAGTTATGTATTAGATTTTTCTCAATATTTGTTCCTCTGTGAGCTCGACTGACTTGTATAAAAAAATTTTTATAGAATTATTCCCTTGTATGTCTTCTGAAATTTTACACAGCTTGGGCAAATTGCCATGGACGTTGGAACCGAAGAAAAACCATTCCAGTTGCCATGGACGTACGTCTTTGATTTACGCACCACTTTCACTGGCAAAACGAGTATTTGAACCTGTCAAAACCCCGCAATATCACATTAATGATTCTGCAATAATTTCGTCTATTGCCGACACAATTGTTGGGTTTGGTAAGGGAAGACTTTGACTTCAAAAAGTCACAAGTCAAAAAGATAACCCCAAAGCCACGTTTCTTACGTTACGTTGGAATAAATATTAAAAAAATAAAAAAATTGAAAGAAAGAAACAGTTTTTTAAAGGAAACCTGCAAGGATTTCTTTTCAATTTTCTTCCTACTTACATCAACTTCTAAGTCGTTGCGGGCTTGGCGATGCGACACTGCGATGCTGGGTTATCCACTAGATGAGGAGTAATTCCTGGGAATTTGAGAATTTCACATGTTTTTGGTGGCTTGACTTCAACTGCAGAAGGCTTGCGCTTCCATGGCAATTTTTTTCCAACTCAAGTTAAGAAGCCAGAACATACAAACTCTCATCTTCTTGCAAAAAAAAAAAAAAAAATTTTTTTTTTCCAACAGGGATTTCAATTCTCCGAAATTTGAGGCCGATTATTTTGAAACCAGCATAGTCACGTAATGCGGGTTAAAGTTTTTGTTTCATTCCTCTCGCATCTGCTTATAGGCATCAGTCTTGCCACTGCCCTAACTTGCTATGACACAGGTAATTTCACAACTAATAGTACATATGGCATAAACCGGGACCTTATTCTCGCTTCTCTCCCTGATAATGTCTCTGCAAATGGTGGTTTCTTTACTGCCACTATTGGCCAAGACTCCAACAAAGTTTACGTTCTTGGGCTTTGCAGAGGAGACTTTTCTTCAGATGCTTGTTATAGCTGCCTCAATTCCTCAATTCCCGATCTCATAGCTAAGTGTCCCAACCAGAAAGGAGCCATGTCATGGGCAGGGGATCTATGTCTTGTACGCTATGCAGATCGGTCGTTTTTTGGAATCCTGGAGCTAGACCCGGCTGATGCAGGCTATAACACGGGCGATATCAAATATAACTTAACACAATTTGATCCTGTTTGGGAGAGTTTGATGGATAGCGTGGTGAGAAAGGCTTCCATGGGCTCGTCTAAGCTTAAGTATGCAACTGGGGAAGCAGATTTTACAGCATTTCAAAAGATATATGCACTAATGCAGTGCACTCCTGATTTATCACAGAAGAATTGCGATTCCTGCCTAAGGGAGTCCGTGAGTTACTATGAAAGATGTTGCCATGGAAAGCAAGGAGGTTATGTTAAGCTGCCCAGCTGTTGGTTCCGGTGGGATTTGTATCGCTTCTATACATCTAATGCTGCTACTACTGCTCCATCCTTATCTCCTCCTCCTCCACCTGAATCTAGAAGTTCTCCTACGCTTCCAGTGAATTCCACAATCACAAAAGGTAAGTACGTGTCTGCTATATGACATGCAGGTTTCAGCAAGAAGATGAAAATTCAATAAATAGGTTTCTTGTCAAAAAATTTCATACAAATTTCTTGCTTTTGCAGAGGATGGAGGCATTTCATCCCCAACTCTTGCCATTATAGTTGTTCCAATTATCCTCTTCGTGGTAGTTGGCATACTTGCAGTTGTTGTTCTCCTCAAGAGGAGGAAGAAAACAAAGCAGGATGATCAAAGTAAGTTCGTCTTTGTTTTTTGTTTGTTATACCTTCACCTTCACCACATCACAGAATCAACATCTTTACAATTTTTAAGGTGTGGTTTCATACTTTGGAAATTAAATATGAGTAATTTTTCCAACAATATGAAAAAGAAAAGGTCGTAGTCAGCTTAAGTACTAGCTATGAAGTGAGATCCATTTAGCCAAAATCTTGCTGGTGCCTTTCTCTCCTTTTCATTTTGCTATAACTTGCTTCGTTTGTTAATTTGCAGATGACAGGAGTCATCAGAAATCGTTGCAATTTGATTTTAATGCAGTAAGAATTGCAACAGAAGACTTCTCGGATACAAACATGCTTGGACGAGGCGGATTTGGTACTGTTTATAAGGTAATTAAAGATTTAGTGTATGAAAATTTTCTATATAAAAAAAGAAAAAAAGAAAAGAAAAGATAGAGAATGATAGAATAAAGCTTCCCCTGCCGCTGTGCCGCGTCTATATCTAGAAGGAATGGAGAACTTTGTGTCCTCTTTTCCGAGTGCTAAGCTCAACTCTTTTAGTGCTGTCTCCGTTACTCAACCTCCAAATTTCCCATTTATAATAAAATTTCTTTCAAAATGTGCTAAATCTAGTGTTTTTATCTCTGTCAAAAAACAAGGAACTCGCTAGTATCACTACTCTCCTGAAAAACAAATGCTAGGAATTGCAAGTTAGTTTTTTCCATCATTTTTCTTTGTTACATCTTCTATCAGGGTAAACTTCAAGATGGACAAGAAATAGCTGTGAAGAGACTGTCTGGTAATTCAGCACAAGGGCAACAAGAATTCAAGAATGAAGTCTTGTTATTGGCAAAGCTTCAACATAGGAATTTGGTTAGGCTTCTTGGTTTTTGCTCGGAACAAAAAGAAAGGATTCTCATCTATGAGTTTTTGCCTAACTCAAGCCTTGACCACTTCATATTCGGTATAGTAGCAATTCATTTGACTATACAAACTGAATATATTGACTTTATTTAATTCGCTTGTCTTTGCAGAAAGCAGTTGAAAAGACATGTTTTATTTGTAAAAAAATTGCGTATCTCTGATTAGTATTATTCTGTTCATGACTAACCATGAGTGGAAACTTTTTGAATGCATTTTTGTCCTGGAATTTTGTAGATCCTGTGAAGCGTTTACTGCTAAATTGGGAGAAGAGATATAAAATTATAGAGGGAATAGCTAAGGGACTTCTTTATCTTCACGAAGATTCTCAATATCGAATCATCCATCGTGATTTAAAAGCAGCCAATATATTGTTAGATGCAGAGATGAATCCTAAAATTTCAGATTTTGGAATGGCAAAATTGTTTCCGATCGATCAAACTCAATCTGGTACAAGCAGAATCGTTGGGACCTTGTAAGTATATGAACATGCAGATTTTGTTTTTACACCTGTTGAGTCTAAAACACTAGGTTATCCTAAGCATTAGCACAAATTCACCAAGGGCTTATTTTAGCATCCATTAACTTCATTTTTTTATTAATTTGTTGTCTTCAGTGGATATATGGCCCCAGAGTATGCATGGCATGGACAATATTCAGCTAAGTCTGATGTTTATTCCTTTGGTGTGTTGGTTTTGGAAATCATTAGTGGTCAAAAAATCAGTAGCTTCGCCAAAGAAAAAGTGGGAGAGTCTCTTCTAACCCATGTAAGTTGCATCTCCCCTGTGTTCATGATATAACTGGATTAGAATTGTTAAAAAGGACAATATAGATTTTACATGCTCTTTGCTGAGTTCATATTCTAAAAATCTTTGCAGGCATGGAAAAATTGGAATGAAGGAACTGCTTTGGAACTTATAGATCCAATTTTGAGCGATGGTTCGAGCAGTGAAATAATGAGGTGTATCCATCTCGGATTGCTATGTGTTCAAGAAAATATTGCTTATAGACCTACCATGGCCTTTGTCGTTCTCGTGCTTAGTAGCTACTCCACCTCTCTCCCAGTGCCTTCGAGACCTGCTTTTCATATTCATTCCGTCGAGCAGACAGAAACGATGTCTGAGTCATCCATATCTGATCAATATAGACGTGAAACTGTCATAGTCTCAGTCAAGGAGGCTTCAATTTCCGAGCTAGATCCTCGATAAAGTTTGAAATATAGTACTTACATATTATCTGCAAGTTTGTCTAGAAATTCTCGGTTTTTTCTATTCACAAAAATTTAAGATGCGTAGAAACTTCCTTAGCCCAAGACAAATTACAAGCGAAGTATTGAATCTTTATCAACTCAACCAATTCTCGTTTGTAGTGCTTCTTTAGTTTAATTACATAACAAACAACTTTAGTTCACTGCTTGGTGAGCCCTTTGCGTGAGAAATCTTTCATATTATATATATATATATATATATATTTTTTTTTTTCCCCTTGAGTGGTTTGTTGAATGAATCGTACAAGCTTAAGCCACTAGTATTGTATCAGGCAACTACATGCCTAGCGGGCCAGAGTTTTCCCTTGAGGATTTAAAGTCCAAGTAGTATGATAGGATGAAATCCAGTTACCTGAACTCATCGGCTATATAAACCCGCCCAAGTCCAAAGTGAAAGGTTGACCATAAGCTGTTGGCCCATCGGCGAGGGGTGCATGGCTAGTGCTTTAATTTATCCAAAAGAAGAGAGAAAAATACGAAGCCCAAAAGTGAAAGAAAACGAAAGGAAGGAGTCCATCGAAAAGAAAGCTTGATATACCTAAGGGCATCCTATCAGTGTGTAGTTGGTCTGGTTCCACTTGTTACAAAACGTTGTTTGTACATTGTTCACCAACTGATTTGCGTTGTTGTTGGATTTGTTCTCGCATCATATGTTTTCATCAATTTCAACTTTGAATTTATTCTGCACATTATGATTTTAACCTGCATTAAAGGCACGTGTTCTTAAACCCTAAACTAGGTTTCGGCAATCTTGGCTTTTTCTCAAATTGCTGGCCCTGAAAGCAACAGACGCTCTCAAAGTCCATGCAATTGGTTCCATAAAAGAACTATCCACAAGAGGCATATTTTGTTTAAAAGCAAATTGAGTTGTTTTTAGTAGGTGCTGGGAATATGAAAATATGTGTTGTAGACTCGATTCATAGAATCAGCACAGTTTGGATAGATATAATATATTTTTTTTATTAAATTTGATAAAAATAATATGTTCTTTTTTCAAAAAAGTTTAAATTAATCTTAAACAATGTTTATAAACATCTGCTAATGGAACCTTTATTATTATTGTCATTATGATGCATGAGGTTAGAGGAAAAAAAGAGATTCACAATTTGATATTCAAATTGATTTGGACTTTACTATTGTCTGTATATTCTTTTTTTTTTCATCTCTTTTAAATTAAAGAAATATAACTAATTGCTTATTACCTTAATAATCCTATTCATTTTTGTCTATTTTTTAAAATAAATAATATTAGAGGCCTGTGAGAACCAAATTAAGCGAAGGAGGCGAAGTGCAATGGAATTTGTTTTCATGATCGGTCTGTTTCCACGCATACAATTACCATGCAGCTTTCTCCCGTTCTCTTTCATTTTCGGGATAATTCTCTGTTTGACAATTCAGACGGAGCCTATTTACTTACGAGTTTTTGACTTATAACTCAAGCCTTGACCACTTCATATTCGATATATTCACTCATGCAGTGCACTCCAGATCCATCTCAGAGTAACGGCGCCAACTGCCTAAGAGTGTCTGTGGATGACTATCGAAGACGTTGCCATGGGAGGCAGGGAGGTTATGTTCAGAAACCTAACTGTTTCTTCCGAAGGGATTTGTATCCCTTATTCTATCATTCTTCAGCTGACAGCCCGTCCCTATCTCCTCCAGCTAATATTCCTCCTCCCCATTCTACTGATTCAATAACCAAGAAAGGTTCAGGATCTCGCCCATTTGAGAAATTCAGATTATTTGGGACTGAAAAAAAGGATACATCGCACTATCCTCTTTAACAGACGAATTATTTTGAAATACTTTAAAAAGAAAAGTACCCAATTTTTGCCTGCACGGGACCCCTTATACTGTTTCACTTTTTATAAATGGTGAATTCAATTTATCAAGTATGTTGCTGGCTTTAATTTGCAGATAAACAAAGCTCCATATCTTGAACTGCTATATTCATCGTTGCTCCAATTGTTACTCTAATGGCAACTTTTGGCTCTTACTTGCACCGTGCTACGAAGGATGACGAAGAAGTTCAAATGGGACAAGAAAAGTAACTGATTATTTTATTTTGTTTGGTTCTATATGTAACAAATTTAGTTGACGATGACTACATATCTTCATTACAATAGCTTCAAGCACTTGGAATTTCAGAGAAATCATAGAAAAATAATTTTACTGCTTAGTACTTTGAAACTGCATGTCTAGTAGTTATGCCAAAGAAAATCAGTCAGTCTGCAATAAAGATCATAAGATCAAACCATGCAGGTATTTTCCATTTTTCCATTTACATATGTTCACCAATTCAATCTGTGAAGTTGCAGATGAAAATGTTAGCACCAGATTGCCATTTGACTTCAGCAGGCTGTCATTGCAACTAGATCTTAGCACTATCAAAGAAGCAACAATTAACTTCTCCGACAATAACAACCTTGGACAGGGTGGTTTTGGCACTGTCTACGAGGTAATTAGAGACCGTAGTAGAAGAATGAGTCAATTTTTGAATTTTCTTTTAGGACTAGGAGTCATATTTTCTCTGTTTTGTTGCTTCAGGGCACGCTTCCCGATGGACAGGAAGTAACCGTGAAGAGGCTGTCTACGAACCCTTAACAAGGAGAAGTAGAATTTGAGACCGAAGTCCTGTTAATGGCAAGGCTTCAACACAGAAATTTGGTTAGGGTTATAGGTTTTTGCTAGGAGGAAGAGCAAAGGCTTCTTATCTACGAGTTTGTGCCTAAATCAAGCCTCGACAAGTTTATATTTCGTATGATTGCATTTTTCTTCCTGACGCATTTTTTGGTAGATATTATATTAACAGATCTCACAGAAGGCAAGGGCTTATACATGAAGAGAGAGAGAGTGTATGTATAATAAAATTCATATTTATACATCTAGTTTTGTTATTAGCATTGTTTTACCATGAGTTAAGTAACTTGATTTTGTAATTTTGTAGATCCAACCAAGCATGTGCTATTGAATTGAGAACATAAATACAGAATTATAGTGGGAATTGCTCGAGGGATTCTTTATCTTCATGAAAATTTTCGACTATGAATTATTCATTGAGATCTAAAAACAGATAATATTCTTTTAGACAAAAAGATGAATCCTAAAATTTTAGATTTTGGAATGACCAAGTTATTCAAATTTGATCAAACTCATACTGACACAACTAGAGTTGTGCGAACATTGTAAATATAAGTCACCTATCAAATTTCATAGTCAAAATTTCCCTCCCAATTGGTACTAAAGCACAAAATTGGCAAATATCAATCAAATATTACTTCTCATTGTTTATAGTGGATATATGGCTCCAGAGAACGTAAAACATGGACATTTCTCAGTCAAGTCAGATGTTTATAGCTTTGGTGTGTTAGTATTGGAAATCATCAGTGGAAAAAAAATCAGTCATTTCTTCGACGAGGAGGCAGGGAGACTTCCAACTTATGTAAGACATAGTCAATAATTCAAGCACCATTGGAAAAAAAGGAAAAAGTGATATTTTCCCTATGTTCTGGGAATTTGACTAGTAGTGCTAATTTACAGTCTCCAATTTCTATATTTTTTCAGGTATGGAAAAATTGGAAGAAAGGAACAGGTTGAATGAAATAGATCCTATTCTGATGGGTGGTTCCACAAGTGATACGAAGAAATGTATCCACCTAGGGTTGCTATGTGTTCAAGAAGATATTGCTAATAGACCAACTATGGCTTCAGCTCTTCTTACTCTCAGTAGATGCACCTACTCTCTTCCAGAGCCCTCAAAACCTGGATTCTGCCAAAACTCTTTTCCGGAATTGGGGGAATCCTCATTACAAAATGGCAATACAAATTTAGTGGCATCCGATGATTCCAAAACCGAAATCACTTAATTTACCAAAAAATGAGGTTTCAATTTCTGACATAGTTCCTCGATAACGTTTGAAGATTTAAGCTGTATTTTTAAACTTGTTTTCTGGAATTGATAATTATTACTTATTTACTTTGTTCTAATCAATGTTGATTAGCAGTTTGTACAACTTATTTACTTTGATTTTAATAATTTTTTTATGTTTTAAATTGTTAGAATTTGAATTCTAATTATTAAAATTAAGGAATTAAACTTTTATCAATTGATCATGTGATGGTTTAAATTATTTTGATCTTAATTTTAATAAAATTAGAAATTTTGTATGCTATTAAAAAACGAAAAGAATTTTTTTATAGAATTAATTCCCGTATATATCTTCTGAAATTTTACACACCTTGGGTAAATTGCATTGGCCGTTGGAACCGAGGAAAAATCATTCCTATTGCCATGGACGAACGTCTTTGATTTACGTACCACTTCCACCAGCAAAACGAACTTGTAAGTTTGAACCTGACAAAACTCCGCAATATCACATTAATGATTCTGCAGTAATATCTTCTACTCCCGACACAATTGTTGGGTTTGGTATAGGAAGACGTTGACTTTGAAAAGTCACAAGTCAAAAGCTAACCCCAAAGCCATGTCCCTCAGTGTCACTGTCAAAAAAAACAGAACCACTCAGGAAGAAACCTGGAAGGATCTCTTTTCAATTTTCTTCGTATTCACGTCAACTTATAAGTCGTTGCGGGTTTGGCGATGCGACACTGCCATGCTGGGTTATCTACTAGATGACGAGTAATTACTGGGAATCTGAGAATTTCACATGTTTTGGGTTGCTAGACTTCAACTGCGCAAGGCTTCCATGGCAATATTTTCCCAACTCAAGTTAAGAAGCCAGAACACACAAACTCTCATCTTCTTGCAAGTAAAAACTTTTTTTTTTCCAACAGGGATTTCAATTCTCTCAAATTTGAGGTCGATTTTTTTGAAGCCATCGTAGTCACGCAATGTGGGTTAAAGTTCTTGTTTCATTCCTCTCCCATCTGCTTGTAAGCATCAATCTTGTCACTGCCCAACATTGCTATGACACAGGTAATTTCACGACTAATAGTACGTATGGCAAAAACCGGGACCTTATTCTCGCTTCTCTCCCTGCTAACGTCTCTGCAAAAGGTGGTTTCTTTACTGCCACTATTGGCCAAGACTCCAACACAGTTTACGCTTTCGGGCTTTGCAGAGGAGACCTTTCTTCAGATAATTGTTATAGCTGCCTCAATTCCTCAATTCACGATCTCATAGCTAAGTGTCCCAACCAGAAAGAAGCCCTGACATGGGAAAAGGATTGTCTTGTACGCTATGCAGATCGGTCGTTTCTTGGAATCCTGGAGCTAGAGCCTACTGTTGCAGTCTATAACACGGGCAATATCACATCGAACTTGACACAATTTGATAAGGTTTGGGAGAGTTTGATGGATAGTGTGGTGAGACAGGCTTCCATTGGCTCGTCTAGTCTCAATTATGCAACTGGGGAAGCATAATTTACACCATTTAAAAACATATACGCACTAATGCAGTGCACTCCAGATTTATCGCAGAAGAATTGCGATTCCTGTCTAAGGAACTCCGTGAATTACTATGAAACATGTTGCCATGGGAAGCAAGGAGGTGTAGTTAGGAAGCCTAACTGTTGGTTCCGGTGGGATTTGTATCTCTTCTTTACACCTAATGCGTCTACTACTGCTCCATCCTTATCTCCTCCTCCCCCACCTGAATCTGGAAGTCCTCCTCCGCACCCAGTGAACTCCACAATCACAAAAGGTAAGTATGGGTCTGCTAGATGACATGCAGATTTCAGCAAGAAGATGAGAATTTCAATAATAGGTATCTTGTAAAAAAATTACATACAAATTTCTTGTTTTCGCAGTGGATGGAGGCATTTCATCCCCAACTCTTGCCATTATAGTTGTTCCAATTATCGTCTTTGTGATAGTTGGCATACTTGCAGTTGTTGTTCTCCTCAAGATGAGGAAGAAAACAAAGCAGGATGATCAAAGTAAGATCTTTTTTTATTTTTGTTTGTTATAGTCTACCACTCTACCTTCACCACTTCCCAAAATCAACCTCTTTACAATTTTTAAGTAGGTGTGGTTTCATAATTTGGAAATTAAAGATGAGTAATTTAATCCAGCAATATGAAAAAGAAAAGGTTGTAGTTAGCTTAATAACTATCTATGAAGTGAGATCCATTTAGCCAAATTCTTGCCAGTGCCTTTCTCTCCTTTTCATTTGCTATAACTTGCTTCTTCTGTTAATTTGCAGATGACAGGAGTCATGAGAAATCATTGCAATTAGATCAGAAATCGTTGCAATTTGATTTTAATGCAGTCAGAGTTGCAACAGAAAACTTCTCGGATGCAAACATGCTTGGACGAGGTGGATTTGGTACTGTTTATAAGGTAATTTAAGATTTAGTGTGTGAAAATTTTCAATATAAAAAAAGAAAAGAAAAGAAAAGATAGAGAATAATAGAATAAGGCTTCCCCTGCCGCTGTGCCGCCTCTATATCTAGAAGGAATGGAGGACTTTGTCCTCTTTTCCGAGTGCTAAGCTTAACACTTTTAGTGGTGTCTCGGTTACTCAACCTCGAAATTTCACATTTATAATAAATTTTCTTTCAAAATGTGCTAAATCTAGTGTTTTATTTCTGCCAAAAAACAAGTAATTCGCTAGTATCACTACTCCCTTGAAAAACAAATACTAGGAATTGCAAGTTAGTTTTTTCCATAATTTTCTTTGTTGCATCTTCTATCAGGGTAAGCTTCAAGATGGACGAGAAATAGCAGTGAAGAGACTGTCTGGAAATTCAGCACAAGGCCAACAAGAATTCAAGAATGAAGTCCTGTTATTGGCAAAGCATCAACATAGGAATTTGGTTAGGCTTCTTGGTTTTTGCTCGGAACAAAAAGAAGGATTCTCATCTATGAGTTTTTGTCCAACTCAAGCCTTGACCACTTCATATTCGGTATGGTAGCAATTCATTTGACCATACAAATTGAATATATTGACTTTATTTAATTCGCTTGTCTTGGCAGAATGCGTTGAAAGACATGTTTATTGGTAAAAAATTGAATATCTCTGATTATTAATATTCTGTTCATGACTAATTATGAGTAGAAACTTTTTGAATGCATTTTAGTCCTAGAATTTTGTAGATCCTGTCAGGCGTTTACTACTATCTTGGCAGAAGAGATATAAAATTATAGAGGGAATAGCTAAGGGACTTCTTTATCTTCACGAAGATTCTCAATATCGAATCATCCATCGCGATTTAAAAGCAGCCAATAAATTGTTAGATGCAGAAATGAATCCTAA